ATGAGGCACTTAGGGACATGGTTTAGTGGGCATGGTGGTGTTGGGTTGATGGTTGGACTCGATGATCTTAGAGGTCTTTTCCAACCTTAATGATTCTATGATTCTATAAGTTAAATGGTACAAAGGGCAAGGGACAAATGCTGACCTCTTGTTCCTTTTGCCTGAAGAATAAAATGCCTGACTGCAGGACATGCCCCCCCAGTAGTCTATACCTTGGCCTTTGTACTGAGTGCAGGCACCCCATCTCCTCCCACCTGCCCCAAAAGCCCAGCCCAAAAGGGAAAGGAATAAAACACAAATAGAGCATGTAGATGTATCACCTGAAAGGGTTAATTCCATTTTGCTCTTACAGGCTGAAGAGGAAGAGGGCTTGAGGAAGCTATTGCTATAAATGACTTCCTTTCCATGGCAAAGTTTACTGACAGCTGCTTAAAAATACAACGAACACTAGCATTTTACAGTGTGGGTATCGACATTTTATTTTTTAAAAATGCAAAAAAAAAAGTACACATTTCCAATCACTAAAATGGTGTAAAGTCACATATTTCAAGGAATTCACACATTAAAGAACAGGCTTTGAAAGTGTTTCTCTAATGCAGTGGCATGGGACCTACACATTCTTTCACAACCGATACTGCTTGTCTCAAATACTCTGTAATAATACGGCATTGGGAGAGCCAGAGATCTCCTGAGATGCCAGCACTGCTAGTATAGGAGGTGCCTGACCTCAGCCATGAGTACCAGGGATACCCCAGTAATTCTGCAAGGTAGAAAAGGAGATGCTCCGACAATACAATGCCATAATCTAAGGCCACCCCAGGAAAATCCAACAGTATCTCAAAGCTGTCAGAGAATAGGCAGTTCCCACACATCTTTAAATTAACTGATCCCCAACCCTCCTATTTAGTAACAGCTTTAAGGAGTATATTTATATATAAATCTATTTTTAAAAAAACACACTATTGTGAAATTTACATGAACACACACAACTTTAGCAACACTGTGTTTCTAGTGGAACTTGGCTATTAGCTGCTTGTAGTTTATATACAAAGCTAATTAATTAGAAAGGCTGCTACAGGGAGCCAAGCTTTCTTTCCAGGTTAGCCCCTGGCTCAAACAAGGATTTCCTATGTCTTATCTTCTAGGAGTTGGCAATATTAAAAATTGTGATTAGAACATCAGGATGCAGTGGCTTGTAAACATTTTGTCTTAATATTAAAATCCAGTGCATTCTGACTTTCTGCTCTGACATTATGGATCAGCTGATTGATACAATGTTCTAGGATTTCATGGGAGATATAAAAAGTTTGGCCAATAAAAATCCTTCAGACAAGTTCATTCCTGGTGCCAAGTTATTGACTTTAGAGCAACACCAAGTATGAATTTGATCCATAGTAGAATCACAGGCAATTTTTTTTTCTGGGATGTAGGAATTTCCATTCCATGCTAGCAAAACAATTTTAGTTTTGCAAAATCCCCATTCTACAGATGAGGACGCAGGTTTGGAGGGAAGCAGTTTGCCAAGCTCACAGGCAAGGCCAGCAAGACAGCCCAAAAGAGTTCCAGATTCCTGAACAACTGGCCTATGTTGGAGATGTTGGACAGCAATGCTCACTTCTCTCCTGACTCCTACAGTCCTCAACCCCCTTCTACTAGGGAAAGATTACATGATACTGCATTTGGGGAAAGGTTCACAGGAAAATGCCTAAAGAAATGCATCAGGGATATACACAAAAAAAGCGCACTACAATATTTCAAGATGGGGGGGGGGGAAACTTCCTGTTGTTCTTGAAGCTCTTCTTAACTCCTTCCTCCTCTTCGCCAGCTGCAGTCCTGAGTAATGAGTGTCGGCCAGATCTGGGTGGCAGCTTCCTCAGATCCTTTCCTTGTGCTTCACATTAGCCAGCTTGACTGTTTCCTGCTCAGAGGCAGGTGGAGAAGGCTCATCGTGACATCCAATCATGAGCTGATAGACCATCACACCCGCAATGGCCCCAAGAAAAGGAGCAACAACTGGAACCCACCACCACTGTTTACCAGTCCTGGAAAACAAGAAGAAAATATACAAGGTAAGAACTGCATCCTACGCATTAGGATATTCATGTTCGGATCTGGAACAATGCAAGATCTGGTCATCTCCAAACATCATCATTGACTTGCAAAAGACAACAGTACCCGCAGGTCCGCAGCAATTTCCAGTTGCCCCCCACTGCAAGTTCAGGTGACAAGCAATTCAGAACAGCTACTTCCAGGACTTCGAAGACTGTCTCTCCATCAAGAAAGGAGAGAAGCAGTTGCAGTGCTTGAAGTAGGCACCTTCACTTCACTCCGACTGCTTGCAGGAAAGCATCCCTTGACAGCACGTAGTCTGTACTGCTCATGGCTCTCTTAATTTTCTCCAGCAACAACAAAATCCAAGTATAACAAATGCCCTACATTTTCTACTGCTAAAAATATTATGATAGGCTCATGTTCAAGGTGCACTTGAACTTCTCATGGATGGTTTTAAATTTCCTCCCTGATAGCAAAGTTAGGTCATTTGCTGTCACTGCTGGAAACTGCCGAGCTTCTACAATTTCTTAAGAAATCAGAGCAGAGCAAACAGTGTCTTTCAAAAATGTTTATAAAATCCAAAGATTCCTCATGGGTGCTAAGACTCTTTATGATGCCAGAGCTACCACCTACTTGGACTTGTAATATTTTTTCCCCTTGATGCACAAGGTTTTCATTGGCAAGCACTTACCAGAACACTTCAGTGCCCCAGCCAGCGATGGCTGTGAAGAGACGAGGCCCAAAGTCCCTGGCAGGGTTGACAGCATAGCCAGAGTTGAAGCCCATGGAGGTTCCAATAACGAGGACAACAAAGCCAACTGTGAAAGCCTCCAACCCCGTGGGGACAGGGTTGTTGTAAGGATCAACAATAGCCAAGACACAAACAATCAGGGAGGCTGTGCCAATGAACTGGGGAGGGAGGGGGAAGAAGAAGAAAAGATTAATCTGGATTAATTTCTTAACCAAATTATTTAATGAAGTCCCATGCATTTAGGACTCATTCTCTAAACTGAAAGAGCTGCACTAAGTGATCCCATTGCATTATCAGACCACAGTAGACTGAGCACCGACAGGAATGGGAGAGTGGAATGTGCTCCTCCTGGCAGCCCACAGGGTCGATCAAGCCCACACCTTTTTCCCTATCCACAGAAGAACTATGAATAACTGTTTGAGCAGCCAGAAAAGCTGAAGACATCTTCCTGAACATGCTTCCAACCTGCCACAGCTGGGTGACTACTGTCCCTTTGTGGTTGATGGCAACTTTAAGGAGGACACAGTCACCTCCAACACCCCACATCCAGTTGACCTCTGGGTTGTGCAACAGCCACAGTAGTACAGTGGGAGTGAGGAAGAACCATCCTCACTGGATGAGTGATAGCACTGAAGAGCTATCGCTCTTCAGGGGCTGAGACCAAGTGGTATCCTTTTCACTGGTGTCCTGGCCAGTCTCGTGCGATTGGTTAATCCCCTTAACACAAGCCTTCCTGCTGTAAGGGTGCTTTCTGGCTCTGTTCTTCCTATGGGCTAGTGAGATACCCAGAAAAGTTTTTAGAGCTGACACAGGTATCTTCTCTTTAAATTTCAATTCATTCTCTAACTAAAGGAGAGGCCCAGAACCACTCCAAAAGATTCCTCTTCAAATGCACCTTCATCCTCCCAGCACCCTCTTACCTGGTCAAAGAATCCATTCACAATGTTCAGATGCTGAGATGGGTACGTGGCAAAGATACCAGCAGTGCCATTTTGTCCTGTTACATACAGCTGGTTGCTGCCAAAAGCCCAGATGGCATCTAGAGGAGGCAGGGGGAAGAAGAAAAAAGAAAGGTAGAGAGGCCAGTCATTTTCCAACACACATCAGAGAGAGGACCCTGCTTGGAAGATGACTAAAATGTAGGCTCCACAGAGCCATGAATATTGAGACAGAATTCCCTGAGCACCCAATTGCTATGTGTTACAAAACCATTTGCTGTAGAGCGCTCATTTGGAAAACTTAGGGTGTGATCCACTACAGCATTTTACCAGTCAGGCTCAGGTGCAGATGGCCTGATTCCCTATTCCTAATATTTCTTGTTTGCCAGGCACCAGGAAAGAGTTAGAGCCAAAAAGTAAACACTAAGCTGACTCCAAATCTCTCCCAAAAGGTACCCAAATGCCTGTGGTATCAGTCTTGGTGCCAAGACATGAGATATTGCTATGGATCTGATCTGCAGCAAACAGGATTTGGGCTGATCTTGCACTTTCCTCTAAGCCAATACAGAATCAGTTTCAACTCTCAGGGTTGTCTTGTAGAGCAGTCAGCCCTTTGCCTTCCACTATGTAGAAGCTGGATAACTAACCTAGGTGGGCTGTCTAGATTCCATGGTTAGTGGAGAGAAAAACAGACACTTTCTGAAGGTAGCTCTTCGATGGTTTAGGCAGCTAAGAAGGGATTAACTCTTCTGAAGAGGAGACTTCAGCCCACCAACTAGAAAGGTAACTGGTGTTGAACTGGAGTCCTGATGTTTACAGAGATGAAGGTAGGTCCTCCTGCTTCTTTCTAAAGTGAAAAGCAGTTGATGCTAGTGCCAGGGTGGCAGTTTCCTCCCTTCAGGTGGAAGCTACAGTGACCCAGATGTTCTGCTCGGCTACAGGGAACACTGCTTCTATTACCAGAAACAGACATCAGGAGGCAAACTGTGAGTCAAAATGTCAGCCTTGATATTTGAGGAAGAGCAATTTCCAGGACAAAGAGTCAGTTCTTGCCCACTGAATATTGCCCTGTGATGAGGAGCACCACTCAGGAGGAATGGTGGACACTACTCATGAGGAACTGGATTTCTAGGATGCTTTCCAAGGTATAGAATCACTCTGATAAGGGCAGCAAAAACTGCTCAAAGTCCCATTGTCTGGAAGCTAACACGAGACAATGCAGAAGACATCCATGGTCAAGTCTTTATTCTTTTTAAACCAAGAAGGATAAAACGGCTCTGGAATAATACACAGACATAAAGTCTTCATTACTACTAACATTTCATCAGCATTTCTGAAAGATCTGTTTTAACCCAGATAGTACCTACAAGAGGGGCAATCCAGTGGTCCATGTTACAATGATCATTACTCAAGGACAAAGACTCATACATTGACAATGTTGGTTGCCCTTTAGATTGATTTGAACCCATCATCATCATCATGAGAACAAGAAAGCCCTCCCAGAAACGCAGTAAGGAGTTTTCTCGCATCTCTGCTCTGCAAGAAAATGCTTCTCTGATTTGGGAACCAGCCTCCCTGCAGTGAGTCACGAAGAGCATCCATCTCACCCCAAGAAACACAGAAAGCTTCTGCACTTACCATAGTACAGTCCAAAGACTATGCCAGCTCCCAGGAAAGCCCCCAGGGTTTGGGCCAGGGCATAAACTGGCAGCTTGATCCAGGGCTCCCGGGCCAAGAAGCACATGGCAAAAGTGACAGCTGGGTTCAGATGTCCACCTGCAGAGAAGCTGGTGGTTATTGCACTTTTACAGCAGAATTTGGGTCCCAGAGATGAGCCAAGGGACACTAGTTTCCACACCAGTGCCACACAGGAAAAGCACAGCCATCTAGGCCTACACAACAATCGTCACAAGTGAAATCTAGCCCACATGGAGCCACAACATACCTGATACCTGTCCCGAGATCAAAATGCCGAGCATCACAGCAAAGCCGAAGGCCAGGTTAACAGTCAGGAAACCTCCATGAGTCCCTCTGCTGAGCACAATCTGTGCAACGGAGCCACAGCCGAACAGCTAGGAGGATAAGAAGAGATTGAAATTACCTTCTCTGTTTCACATCAGGGCCAGTTGCTGACCAGTGCCTGCAACTGCTCCACTTACACTTGCATGCACCATCACAGCCCACCCATGACTCAAAGCCTTCAAGGCTTCAACCTTCAGTTGAAGTACCTAGATGTTATCTCCAGGGACAGCAGAGAAGGAGAAAGGGCACAGAACAAGCCTATCTCCTTGCAGGGGTCAAAAAAACAGGGCCAAAATCAAAAGCAAGATCAGGCCACAGTTCACATCTCCAGGAGACTGGGGGTCTTTGTCCAACCATCTAATTTTCAGGAGGTGGTAGGTGAGAAGAATCAGCCAGACAGCACCCTGGACTGAGGTATTTACAGTGCAACTGTTCAGATGAGGGATCCGAGTACCTTATTGTTAAAAAGGCTAACTGTTCGACACAGTAGCACATAGATTGGCAGGGGACAATTTTGCTAATGCCTGGAAATACGGACATGACTGAAGAAGGCTGTATACAGCCTGACATTCATGGAGTCCTCTTTCAGGTGGCACTGGCTGACAGCAAGGAATTGGGGCTGCCTCTTTGAGCTGAGATACCTGCAGTTGTCCCAGCCGCAAGGTACGCTCTCTGCTGTGGGCACTCTGAGCAGAGCCTACGCCATCCCAAACCAGCCATATCCTTCCTATGGCAAAACCATGTAAGAAAGGATCAGGGCAACACAGCTGGCCTGTCTCTGCAGCACCAACATGGCACAGGCATCATCAATGAAAGTCCATATTCCACAGACAGCCTGCCGCCAGCGCAGCCTGTGGCGCGGCCTTCTGTCCAAGATCAGGGATGCACCAAGCACTTTGGGGGACAAAAGTTGTTTCTGCTGGGTGATAAGGGGTATTTCCTGGTAGCTAAGGGAGGCATGTGCTCTTGCTCAAAGACATTTGCTCCAAACAGGTGATCCTTCTCTTCCCAACCACATCCAAAAACCATCCTTCTTATGCTCACCCTTAACAACCCAGACCAGTTTTCCCTGGCAGTTCAGTTCATCACTCATCCAGCTGGAGGCTTTCTGCCTGGCCAAGTCTCTCCACTGCCCACTGTGTAATTTAAGGAGCCCTAATCCTGATCATCTGTATGCTTTTATCTTCCACTGACTCCACCTGAATTGATTCTTGGTGTATACCAGGGATTATCACATCAGCAGGTACTGAGAGCATCCTTAAACTAGGACAGGGATTACAGCTTGCTCCCGAGATCCTCAAATCTAGGGCTCAAGCCTTGCCTTATTTCTACTGATCACATGTCCATATCTACACACTCATCAAAACTTTCTGCTTCTGTGAATTCCATCATCCCAGAATTACTCAGTTGCCACAGAGGCAGTGTCTGCTCCTAGGGGATAAGCCACCAAATAGGCACCAGGGCAGCAGGGGTGGGTCTCTTCACCTCTCCTACCAATACTGGACATGCCCATTGAGCAATGCACAATCCAGATCAGGGGCAAAGCCAAAACACACCTAACATCCCCTTGTCAACTGGTGCATTACTAATAAAGCAAACACTGCACTCAGCCTGCTGGGAAAGGAGCAGCCAGGTGGGCTGCAGCTCGACTCATGAGGTGGACACCATACACAGGTGCCTCTTGACAAGAAGCCAGGTCCCCAACACAGGACCTTGTGTAGAAAGAACAAAGGAATCTGTAGAACTCACTAGTTAATGAGAGGGGACCTCCAGCACTGCTCTTTACTGGGTGCAGTCAGAACAGCCCGCTTCAATGTCCTAACCCTGAGCTGCCCAGCTGGGAAAACATGGCATAGAAGACACCCAGGCAAAGGCAGAAAAGATGAGTCTTGTTTATTGTGCAGCAAACAGAGCCATCGTTCCCAGCTATGCCCAAACCACTGAGGCAAGCGTGGCTCCAACTGAGGAAATAATTACTGGCTAATGACCAGGGTGATATCTGTTCCTTCCCTTACCCCAGAAGAGCCCCAGCATGCTTTAGACAGAGGTTTGGAGAGAGTACTTGGCCATGGTGTTCACCTTTCTAATGCCACACAGCACATCAGTCTGACCAGGGAGGGGGTGAGCCCACAAAAAGCTGCAATGGGCATCTGACTGTGGCAGGTTTGGCCCCAGGTTCTTCCGATTGATGAAGGTATTTGTGTTATTCACTCTGAAAAAACTGGCAGTTCTGCAAGTGGATGGCAGTTGGCTCATTAGCCACATACCTTTTGGTTGCAGAAACCAGAGTAAAGTTTCCCCCCTCTGCCCCCCTGTTCAACCATAAAGGTCTTCCCTTAACCTGGAGGAAGGCCAGATCTGCCATTTCTTAAGAGGTTGTTCCCCATCCTCCTCTCCCCCCATCCTACACCTGGTAATAGCTCTCCAGCTTTTCCTCAGAAGACAGTCTATGGGCCATGCAAAAACACCCCGGAGCTACTCCACAGGAGCATTACAATTATTTATCAGATGGGCCCTGTGCACTCTTTGGCTTAATTCAGTGTAACAGTAGAAAACTCGACCCTCAGCAGAAAAAAAAAAAAAGTGAGGTAATATTTAGGGACAGGTTTGAACTTTGATATGCATGTGTGCAATTCCATCCTGCACCAGTGGAGTCCACTAAGCATGAACATATATTCTCAATCATGACATCCATCCATGGCATTTGACTTTCAGGAACCAGTTCAAGTCATGCTCACCCGTGCTTTTGTGGCAAGTGACTTGACATTACGCAGTTTTGTTGTGGTACTGGCTATTACAATTTTTAATCACACCATTTCCACTTTTGCTATTTGCTAGTTTTCCTTCCAATTCCTTTTCCCAGGCCATATGAGGCAGGAGACCCTCAGCAACCATTTTTTAAGTCTTCCTTTTCCAATGCTCACAGAGAAGCATTTAAGAGCAGCTAGCTTGAGTTGAAAGGCAAGGAAGGTCAAATAAAAGAAATTCAGCATTTATCCCAGTGGCTTTTAAGTCCATGCAATGGATGTAAAAGTTCTTAGTCAATATCACAGCACTATGGTAGGAGACAGTAGTGCACACCCAAGGCAGAGGTGACCCCTCACTCTTGATTTTAATAACCTGCCTCCAACATTTCTTTTTTCTTTGTTAAAAAAACAACAACAAAACAACACAAACATTACTGGAAGAACATCCCAGCCAACAGAAAGCCAGGTTAGCACCTGGCAGCATGTGCAGCAATCAACTGTTATACCCCATGATCCACTAGCCAAGTTCAAAAGCAGTTTTAAAGTGCTAATAAAATGATTGCAACAAAGCATTACTCTGATGTATTAAAGCTAGTCTCCCAGGAATTGAGGTCAATGCGCCCATTAACCAGCTTAATGGAAGCCTGCTCCCTAATTTCATCTTACTAGCTCTAGCAGATCTAATGGCTTTCCCTGCCTACAGGGAGGCTTCTCACTCCTCATGAGCAGAGCCAACTCCTTCTACCATGAAAAATAATAAAATCCATGTTCTGCAAGATCTGTGAGTTGAACTGGTTCAAGGGTAGAGGGGCTGACAAACTCCAAAGGGAGTGTGTACAAGGGAGGGGACAGCCAGAAGCAGTAGCAAAACCAGGAAAAGGTAACAGGTCACTGGGTGAAACTTCACACTCAGGGAAACCTTGAACTCCCTGTGTCCAGGGCATGTTTGGAGACTGGCCATTTGGCTTTGTCACCCAAGGTAAAAACACCCTGTCTCAATGTCTGGAGACAAGAAAGCTCTGGAGATAGGCAAGGCTGGTAGGAAAGGACCTTAGAGGACAAAAAAAATTGAAAAAGCTAATGAAGAAGTGAGGCCATCCTAGTTCATACGCAGACCTTGTGAAAAGCAGCTCCATATGTGAACTTGGGAGAAAGGTAGTGCTCAGCACTCCCCTGCACAACAGCCAAGTGTCCTCCCTCACTTGCCTCCTCTTTTCTTTGCCGGTGCTTTTTCACACCATCAGGTGCAACACAAAAGGCTTGGATGCATTTGCTTTTGGACTTCAGACAGACTGATCTCTAAATCAAGATGGGTAAGTTTTGCTGGCATAGCCCAGGAGAAGTGTTATTACCCGAGTTACAACTTTCCTTTTCAGCCAGCAAATAAACCAGGGATTAGGCAAGGAGCCTGCTGTAAGTCTACCCTAATCACCTCGGTGGATGGGAAAGGCTGGTTAGCCCTCACTGCCCTCTGACTAGTGGGGAAGATGCCAGAAGGGCATTAAACCATGGGACTGCTCTGAAGGAAGAGACCCTGAGATACTGGTGGAAGACTTCAAGCATTAGACACACAAAGGGACATGTCTCTTCATATCAGAGTAGAACTTAGGACTATCCTACAGTCCCTTCAAGGGCGGAGGCTGGGAGGGGACAGAGGACTATTACTTTACAGCCAGTTCAAAACAACCTCCCAACTCCTTATCTGCAGCTCAATGCAAGAAGGGGTTAAAGACACTGTAAGTCTCCCCGTGGCCTCTTGCTGCCCTCCCCAAGGAGCAGGACCCAGCTGGGTAGATCTGAAGACAGATCCATCCCCATTGCTGTTCCTGCTCAAGCAGCATGCAGAGATCTTCCTCAACTACATGGCCCATGCAGCCAGGACAACCTCCACCAGCCACAAAGGCAGTGCAAGGAGCACCATTGTTTTTGCCTTTCCTCAAAGCATCTCTTGAACAACAAGACTGGTCATAATTTACGATTTGCAAAGCAAGGAGAAACATTAGACCCCACAGTCGGGATTCTTGTCCAGCACAGCTGGAGCCAGCCTAGACAGAAGCAGTCCCACGGGGAAGGGCAGCAGCAGATGGTCACCGTGTTATAGCTCTTTCTGCACCGCACGCTGTCCCAGAGCCAGGCAAGGCTGCAGGACTCAAGAGATAAGAGGGTCTAAGGAAAGTTGTGCCGCACATACGTGACGTGCTACAACAACGCTGCACAAAGCTGGGGAGATGAGCGGTGCTCAGCGCAAGAAACCTGAGCAACCGTCAGCAGAGCAGTTAGGCATTAGAGAGGAAAGTCACTATTTTTGCTTGTTCACATACACACGAAAGCAAACACACTATTCTGATATCCCTGCTATCCCTTTTCTTTCCTATTCCATGATCTAGCTTTTAGAAAGACCTGTACTTCTGGTGGGGTTTTGGTCACAGGGTTGGGCACTGCTGGGGAAAAGCTGCCTTCCCCCTGAAGGCAAGTCTTGGTGCCTGAACTGTCCTGTTTGTAGGAAGGAGAAGCCTCCCTGCTCCTGCACAGGCACAGCAAGGAGGGACAGTTAATGAAGAGCTTCGAGCTCTTCAGGTGGAAGAGGTGAGGGTGAGCAGCAGCACTGCCATTTCCCACACCTCCACACACAGCAGCACAGACCCATTACAGGGAAGAACCAGCAGCACTCGACATGCTTACAGCAAAGATTTCCAGTCCCTTTCAAATCCTAGCAAAGCATTAAGAAAAACAAAATTTTAAAAATTAAAAAAAAAAAAAAAAATCACATTCTCCCAGTGCGACAGGCTGGGTTCAAGCAAGTCGCCACAAATCAAACAGCGACTGCGGGAATTGCTGTGCTGCCCCAGATGGCTGCGGGATGAGTGGCAACTTTAAGCTCTGCACTGCCAACAGTTAAATGAGGCTCCCTTCACCTTGATCATCCCAACCACTTTGCTACTTTGGTTTCTGTGATCTGCAGCACACTCATACTCCAAAAAGCTCCCACCTGGCCACAAAGTCAAGACAGCCCTGATTGAAAAGCAGTTAGGAATTGTTTTGTTCTTTTTTTTGTGCCTCTACAGCAATGAATCACAGTTAGTCCGACTTGGGAATCAATTATAAACAGCAAGTTCCTTCTCCTGCAAATGTAAAAACCAAACAGAGCCAGTTTTCGTATTTACAGCCAGCAGAGCAAGGCAAACAGATCGAGCCTTTAAGGGAGGCATGGAGGCCTGCCACTGGAAATCTGGCTTTAGTGAGTTGCTACAGTAATAATACAAACAGCAAGCAACTTGGAAAATGCCTTCAGCGTTTGCATTGTTTAACTATTGCCAGCAAGCGGTGCTTCCGACATAGGTATAAAGTTCAAACCTAGAGTACCACTCAAAGTGCATGTTGGAGGGGAAAAAACTCAGTCATTTTAATTATCAGAGGAAAGGTAGAATCAGCATTACTCTTCTTGTAACAGTAAGGACACTACCCACAGACTAAAACCACATTGTGCAAGGTACTATATACGGCAAAAGCAGCTTGCAAGTAAAGAGCACCTTGCCTTTGCACTATTCAGGGCTCAGCTGCCTTCGTTGGATTATTTTTCTTATCTTACCTTAAAAAGAGAGGCACTATTTTGTTTTAACATTCTGCAACCTTTACAACAGCCTTAAAAAATAAGAAAAATAAAATCAAGCACTAGGTTAATTCTTACAGGCAAAGAGACCTTGCAGGGGTCTGAAATCGCTTTGCTCTAGAAGAGCTTGAGAGCGCTGCAGTCATTATGCAAGTGAAAAGGAGGAGTGAAGAAGCTGAAGCTGTGCCAATATCCATGGTGGGACAAGTTTTACATTACACAGTGAAACGTAAAGTAAGCTGCAAACTTTAAACAGTCTCCTTCCCTTCAGCTCAGGAAGTTAATTTCAGTGTGAACAATATAAAACCTTAAATCCATCCCTAATGTTGTTCTGCTCTAGACATATTTGTGTTCAATCGGTTCCATCTCCTGTAAAGATAATTTCATGGATCCCATGTCTTTCCTCAGGTATTTTATTGTCTGAAGCCCATAAGAGATATTTAGGGGCCTCAAATGCAGCTACATGCATGCACAGCCAGCTCAGCCTGCTGGCAGGGTGGGCAGCAGGGACTTTTGCAAGGTACAGGATAACATTCTCTCTCCTGGGACTATCCAATTCAACTACCCAGGCCATCTGAAAGTGGAAGAAAGTAATCTTTAAGGCCCTTTCTGTTTTAGGCAGGTGATATAATAAAAAGATGCAAAAGAATCCAGGTGGTAGGGAGCAAAAAAAAAAATTTTTTTTTTTTTTGTAAAAAAAAAAAAAAATTTTTTTTTTTTTTTACAAAAAAAAAAAAAAATTTTTTTTTTTTTTTACAAAAAAAAAAAAAATTTTTTTTTTTTTTGTAAAAAAAAAAAAAAATTTTTTTTTTTTTTGTAAAAAAAAAAAAAAATTTTTTTTTTTTTTTGTAAAAAAAAAAAAAAATTTTTTTTTTTTTTACAAAAAAAAAAAAAAATTTTTTTTTTTTTTTGTAAAAAAAAAAAAAAATTTTTTTTTTTTTTACAAAAAAAAAAAAAATTTTTTTTTTTTTTACAAAAAAAAAAAAAAATTTTTTTTTTTTTTTGTAAAAAAAAAAAAAAATTTTTTTTTTTTTTTGTAAAAAAAAAAAAAAATTTTTTTTTTTTTTTAGTAAAATAAATAGAATCTGTAAGTGTCACTTCATTAACAGAATAGACTGGGACAGCTCCAAGGCAGAAAGCAATTGATGCCCAGCAGAGCCATACTGCAGGTTTGTTGCCCTGGAACCTGTTTCCCTCTCTGCATACTCTGATTTTGCCTGCTGACAACCCAGGAGCATTCACCATGTTTGGGACTTTCCCATTTCTCCCACCAGCCCACCCCATCTTCTCCCACATGGACACAGTACCCACAGCCCTCCATACACTGCAGTGTTGCTGCAGGAGATCCAGATCACTTTTACAGGACCTGTGAGATGGAGTTGAATGTGTCACTAAAATGAGCATCTTCCTGCCCTCCAGACACCAGCTCAGGAATTCCTGAAGAAGGTGAGGGGTCTGCTTGTACACTTGCACATACTTTAAAACACAGCAGGTGTGGTGCTCCCGAGGACAAGGCATGTGTTGCCCACTTTTGCCAGTGCATCATCCAGCCTTGCTGATGGGTGCCCATTTCTACCCTCCGTTTGGAGGCTGGTTATGATTTTGGACCAAACCTTTCCTCGGGCTCTGAGCACATCCCAAATCCTCCCTGCCCCAGAAAGGCAAGGCTGTAGGGAAAAGTAATCTCTGTCATATCAGCTAATACAGATGGAAGAAGAAACAACATTTTTTTGGATCACAAGCCCTTCTGAAAGCTCAGATCCACATGGCTAAAGGCTTGCCTTGTTTCTACAGCAATATTAACTTTGCTAGCAGGAGACATTATTCCTCCTTACAAGTCTTACCTTGCTTCAATCCTGAGACTAACTGCAGCAATATCAGTGATTCATAGACAGCAACTTTCTACCTGTTAATCGCTTTCCTATCAGTTTCTACCCACCTTAATCCCAAATAACCTGAAATAACCAAATAACCTGTTGATTTTTCCCTGAAAAATCAACAGGACTTGTCCCAAATAACCTGAAATAACCAAATAACCAAATCTGGTTATTTGCAAATCACCAAAGCTGGGTCACTCTGACAATAAAGGCATTGCACTGTGCAAAGCTGCTTTCTTTTAAGAGTGGTAGCATTTTAGGAGGACTCAGCTGAGCCCCTTATCCTCCCACACAAGACCCAGTAGCCTCCTCTTCCTCATCAAAAAAGAATCTTATTTATTAAGGCATAAGATAGTGTGTCGGTTCTTTTGTGTTGTCCCCAGGAGCACGTGCAACTTCATCAAACCTTCCTCTGCTTTCAGCTCCTCCAACTACTAGACTTCTCCCCAAACAGTCCTGCCATCAGTTACAAAGAGGTGTAAACCCACAGTCACTCCACTGAAACTTAGAGGATCGCTCTGGCTTTACACCCACTTCGGAGGAACTTTCATCTGCAGGTATTCACTGTGAACACCAACCCATTTCTGCTGCAATATCAACACCACAGACTCGTGGCCTGTTGGGCAGTCCTGCCTTTTCGGATGCAGATGCCCAAAGCCGGGTACTCCTATCCCAGTTTTGCTACACCGGTATTTGCTCCCCACTCCTCACACACAGCTGTCCTAGCTGTTTGCATCTGCCTTTGACTTCAAAGCAAGCCAGGGCCACTCAAGACATCTTCAAACTAAGTCACTTATACAGATATCCACCCCGCTTTATTCCTTATATCCCACCCCTTTGGAAACTGAGCACTAAAACAGGCAGAAGAGTTTTGTTGCCATTCACCACTTAAAAACGCATCGACTGACAGCTTGGCACTGTCACACACATGATGAGCACAAGCTCCCGATCAGCTGCCGGCACAGGCTGCTGCAGTGTCGTACAGTCCTGCTGATAAGACCCTGGGGAACCTGCAGCTGGCAGCAAAAAAACACTGCAACAGTTTAAATTCTGGCTACTTCTTCTCCATAGGACGCACAAGGAAAACAAAGCAAGGTGAGCTTTCACTTCCCCGGGTGATAACAGCTGAAGTATTTCAGTGCCAAGAAAATATTCCAGGGCAGACAGGAAGGAAGTTTTGCATGATCTCTAGCAAAACACTTGCTGCTTGCACAGAGACTTTTTTGCTCCCTTCACTTTGCAGACACACGAAAGCACCCAGACACCTGCCGAGATCTGCAGAACCCACTCTTTACCAGCAAACCCAAAGCTCATCCATCAATCCTTGAATGATTTTTTTTTTTTTCCTGTGGATAAGGACTTCTGTAGTCCCCATGGGGCAGGTTGCACTAGAGCTGGGCTCATGCCCAGCGCAAACTCTGGCAGCAGCACACCCCCTTCACCAGGACAATTTCCCCCCCCGCACCCAGGGGTTAGAGAGCATCCCCACACCACAGCATAGACTCACCACCAGGATCAGCGTCCCCAGGCACTCAGCCAGTGCTTGCCGGACTAATTTGTTTCTGATCCTCAGGTGCTCCTCAATAGTAGCAAGAACATCCTTTTGCCTCCCCATCTCAGTAGAGGTGCCCTTCAAGCAGTGCCAGGGGAAAAAGCAGCAGCTGATAAAGCCTCAGCAAGGTTTCTTTCCCAGCAGAGCTGCCTTTGCTTATAACGAAGTTCTGCGATGCCTGACACACCTCCTGGGTAACCACACCCCTTCCACCCTTTCTTGAAACCCAACTTATTTTTTTTTTTTCCTCCTTTTCAGCGTGTGACAGAGTGGGTGGTTTTCTTAATTTTCTTTATTGCTTGCATAGGTGAGCAAAGGATTCAGGAGTTTCAGAAGAAGAAATTAAGAGACAAAGATGTCCTGCTCAAACCCCTGCTGTTTTCACCACTTACCACCTACAACATGGAGCTGTATCTGCCCCTCTTCAGCTTCAGCTGAGGTCCTAAAAGCTAAATGCATGGACTGAGCAACGTCTTAACCCATTTGTGCAACCAGAGTACCCTGCTTTCAGCTTGCTTTCCCTCCCAAATTCCTGCAGGATGGCAAAGTGATGAGTACTCCTGTGTTAATCCAGAGGCCACAGGTGCTTTTGCAGCAAAATCGTGGGGCAGGAGGGTTTGATCCCCCACACCTGTACTGTGGGCTGAGGCCAAGGCACCTCCTGACTCCAGCAATTACCCAGCTGAAGCTGGTATCAAGAAACAAGACCAGACCTCTCTCCATGCAAAGCTGCATCTGCGTCCAAACTCTTGTGTATCATTACAGTTTCTCTCCCCCTCCCAGGGCTTTGGGAGAGCATTTCCAGCCCAGTCCCCATGAAAGCTGTGAAGAAAAGTGGTGCGAGGTCCCAAGTGCAGGGCCAATCCCTCATCATAGGACATTGACGAGGAGACCACTGACTCACTGAGCCTCGCAGGAACCAACCCTTGCTGCCTTTTCATCCTCAGTAACATATCCTGTATCACACTGGGACAGTTCTATGGGGCGGTCTGAATGAAAGCTGTCCCAGTCCGTACCATCTGGGGTGAGGGCTGCTAACAGGACGCATGCCACTCGTGGCATCTGGTTTCTGTTAAGTGAGTAGTAAAAATTCCCCAGGCTCTTTGACTCACTGGGGCTTGATGCAGAGCAGCAGGGCTGAATTTGCAGGACTGAAGGGGACCCCTTTCCTGGATTTGTTCCCCCCGCCTCCTCTGCAAAGCCACAGATGCCCAGCTTTTCCTCTTCCCCTTATTTAACCATCGACTTTCCTGTTAGAAAAGCAGAGCTTTTTAGTGCAGTGGTGAATGGGCCTTTATTTCGTACAGAAACTGTAGCCGGTCCAAGGAGTAGAGTCAGGAATGCTGTTAAGAAAATAACGTGTGAGGAATCAAATGCAGGGAAACAGTTAGGTCCAAACATAATTACAGGGACAGGAAACTTTCCTCATTCCTTTGCGCTCAGGCCAGGTCTGGTATCACCAGCATCAATGGGGTCCTCTGAACTACAGCAAGAACTCCGTCAGCCCCATGCATGCTCACTGCGGCTGGGGTTTGCAAACCAGCGGTCAGGACACCCGTCTTTTACCTTCTCTCCCTCTCTCTCCTCTCGCCCTCTTGCTGTGCATCACCCGAGCATTGGAGGATCCACAGCCACTCCTCTGCCTCGCTTTCTCCTGCACTCCCCTCCTCTATACTCTGCTCTGTCCTTTTCACCCTGACTCTGTACTGAAGCCATCACAGCCAGAAATGAAGCTGTGTGTTGGGGTTTTTCCCTTTTGGCAGTTCCTAAGCTAAGGTCTGTGGGCTGTTTTGCCATTTGTTGAACCATCAGTGTGCAGATGCTGTGTTCTGTGGTGTAAGTTTATTGAGATTTATTTAGACTTGGTCCTGGATCCCAACCCTTCCCTGGAGGTGGGGACAGGGCCATAGGAGCAGAGAGAGACAGGTGAGGAGAAAGAGGCATGGGGAGGTGTGATGTTCTCCAGGTAGGTAGGTACATTTCTCCTGTCCGCAGCATCTGAGCCCCTGTGGCTACGAGTTGAGGATATAGACATTTCCTCACAACTGGTGAAGGGAGGGGAGATGTCTAGGCTCCCAGGTTGATGGTAGAAGATGGTGGTAACACCAGCATCAAAGCTCGTGTTTGGAAAAGTCTAGACAGATGCAAGCCCGAGGAGCCAGGGTGGGGTGGGCACTCCGACACCAGCTCTGCGACTGACTCACTGCCTGACCCTGAGCAAATCCTTCACCTTTCCACACCTCAGCTTCTCTATCAGTAAATTGGAGAGAGTGACATTGGATTCTCTTCTCGGGGCATTGTGAGGGTGAATCACTGCAGCCCGAGATCCAATGGCTTAAACTGAGCAATAGGGACTTATGCAATTGCTTTCCCAACAGACAGCCATGTTATTATCTAGGAAGGAGCTTGGGGAAGGGACAGTGATGCAACACTAGAAGAAGTGGAAGATCTTTTCAGAAGCAATAACTAATCAAATTGTGGGTAAGGGCTGAAAGGCCCCAGTGCTGGAGCTTCTCTATGCCAAGACAGGTATTGCCCTGCCACATCATTCAGCTGGACTCCAGGGACACATGATCTAAACACAAAACAATTAAAGATGTGCATCAACAGCAATAGGTTTCCAAACAAATCCGTCTCCTGCAGTAACTGGTGCACAGGGTCCTGGTACCCATCCTGGTGGTTAGAAGAAGTCCATGGGTCAGTAGAAGTAAACAAGGAAGGATGTAGCAGTAAGACTAACAAGGTAGGCCCTCAGAGCTGCTGGGCTCTACTAGTGTTGGGTGGGCACAGCGAGATGTCCATGCCTTTAACATTGCCTTGCATGGACATTCAAAGATGCTCTTTCACAGCACAAAGGCTTGAAGAAAGGAAATTTCCAAAATTCTGTCACAAAAACTCATGCCTGACCTCCTGGTGGTAGTGCGAAAGCTATTGAAGCCCAAGCAAGGGACTTCTGTTGTCAATCACGGCGTGATTCAAGCATCAGGTGTCAAAGTGCCTAGAGTGAACTACCCCTATCAATCTGTACAGTGTCAAAAATTCAAGGCGTTGGGGGGGCCAATGTAACACTTTAATTTATGGAAACTGCTGATTGCCCGGAGGAAACTCAAAGAGAAAAGGAAGCTCAGTTCAGCAGGAAAATCAGAGACAACATTGTTCTGTTGTGCTCCTTCCATAAATCTCAATCTTTTCTTCCAATCTCTTCTGGGACCAGCAAATACAGTAGTACCTAGGAATAAACCAAGATTTGAACCCATGCCCTCTGACTCCAGTCCAACAGAGCACTTGTCTGTAATGTTTGTCACTTTCTTGTTCTTTTCCTTTCTCTCCTGCAGAACTCTGCAATGTGCCACAAGAAACTTGCTGTGCTCAGGCTGTTATTTCTAGACAAGATCCAAAACTAACACCCAGGTTCCAAGTTTGCTGTTTGCGTTGCAGCCTTGCTGCTTGGCTCCCTCCCTTATCACTCCACTCCAGGGCAAAGACACAGGTGAAATTTTAAAGCAAGAACCGATCCTTGGCTGCTCCCCTTCAGCTGTTTTCCTACTGGATCTAGTGACACAAAATAAACTCAGGCTCATAAACTCCTTGGCTTCTGCAGAGTGCTGAATCAGCCTCCAGCAATGTAATTTTTCCTATTAAAAACCAAGTTTAACAAAGTAACCAGACTTTTTCTCAAGCTAATTTCTTTAGCTGAATGGCTAAACCTGGACTGATGGGTTCCACATCTTGTCCAAGCCAAATTGATTCATCCATCCCAGGATGGATGGTGCAATCCAATAAGGAGAAAAGTGTGAATCACACAAATGTGTAATGAGTCACTCATTGCACTGATGGCTGGGTCACCTGGTGCAAAAGCCGTTATGCCAAGAGAGGTCACTGGGTCAAAGCATGACAGGATTCATCCTTGTGAAATCTCCCTTTGGAAGATACCTCTGACCATCTCCTTCCCATGATTTACTTGGCAGAGCAATATGGTGACACGTTCAGAAGATTTCATTAAAAATAAAAATTATAGCTTGCCTAGCAAGGCAGGGTAGGAAGTGAGTGGGTAGGAAGTTTATAAGCTTCTAAACCATTTTAGCTGGAGGGTTGAGTGCAGTGATTTCAACATCCTGCCTTGAATCTACAGATTTGCAGAGCCAGGTGTTCATTTCATGTCTGGGTCTGCTTAGCCCTCCACCTTGAGTTAGAAAAATGGAGAAATTCCTCCAGAGAACAGTGGTAGCCTACACAGCTGAGGGTTGTTGATGGCATCTGTGTTTGGAGAAACTTAAGGTGAAACTGCAATCCTGATTTAGGTTCCTCGGACATCTCAGAGAGGTCTGGAAGATGGCAAACTGGGTTTGGACTTGAATTACAATATAGTAATGGGAATAATACTTAAAATCCCTGAAAACAGCTCTTCGTGACGACCACTGCTTAGGACCAAGCGGAGGAAAGGGTGACTGAGCTGAGTCTATACCTCATATCATTCAGAAGTGTCTCATAGGGATGGATACCCCAGAGTTATATTGGAGCATGGGCCCACAGACTGTTCCCACTGGCGGTTCCTTGTCATGTCTGATTTCCTCCTCATCCCAAAGCTGGCCCCAATTTACAGGAATAAACATTGTTCATCACATGCCATTCCAGTAGAGAAGCCATTTTCCAGTATAAGCAGTTGCATACCAGAACAACTACTGTACACTGGAAAAGCACCAATTACTCCAGAAGAAAGCTTTTTAATAACACATCTGAAAGGAAAGCTATTACAAACAGCCCTCCTGAAATAGGGTTTTGGCAGGAGCTACTGCCATAAACTGGTCTGTGTAGACAGTCGCTCTTCTGAGAGCTGCAGAGCCAGTCCTGACTTGGAGACACCGCTGCTGCTGAGCACTACAGCAGGAGAGTTCAAAGACCCTGAAGGCAGAAGACACAGAACTGGGGTGAAACTCCACCAGCCCAAAGTGTGAGTCAGGAGCAACGACAAGAACTTTCCCTACCAGGTGAGGACGTGTCCAGGAATGGAGAGTATGACTGCTCTCTATCCTAACCACAGGTAGTCCCAGCACAGATGCCTCTGGGCACAGAAATGATCACTTTAAGAGCACAATACACCTGGATGTCATTTTAGATGGTCTGCTCCGTGTGATCACTTTAGAAGCAACTACTATCTTCGTTG